GTGCATTTTGAAATGGTAGATTGATGAAAAAAAATAAAGAAAAGTTTTAATTTTGCATGTAATATTATTTTATTGAAAAATGTGTGATTGAAAAGAATAGAGAGAAAAAATGTATTTTGGAAAAAATGAAAATCAAACAAAGGCTTAGACGACAAAAATAGTTAATAAGTTAATTGACAGTATTATATAGAATTGAAGAAAATATATTACTAAAATGTTTTAATGGTATGATTAGGAATTAAAATTTGAGATCTTTTAACTTCTTGGTTGGTGTTTTAAGAGTATTTTCAATGCATTCTATGAACTATATTTAGGTGGTGTAAAATTGAAATTTTTTCCGATCTACATGATAATAATATATAATAAATAGACACATAAAAAACGAAGCCAAACGATCACCAAACTTTTAATATTTTTTAGGTGAAAAATTGTACCAATCAAACCCAATTAATTACAATTCCCAGTAAAACAAATTTTAGACAATTCAATTTCCAGTAAAACATTTTCTTTTCATCCATTTTCCACATTTGCAATGAAACGGACCCTAAATGTGTTTACATTCCCAACTTCCTTCTCTTTTTAGGGTTAATTAAAAGAGAGTTCAATGCTATTGTCATGAATCAATGCTTGGTCCAACTAAGTATGAATTTCAAACCTATATATTCTCAATATAAAAATAACCAAAAAACTTTAGTCCACATATATGATTTAGATGGTACAAAAAATCAGCATCATAGAAAAGGAGACATGTCTATATTTGGCAGGTCCCTTGTCATACCATAGATTTATTGGTCCACAAGCTAACAAATATTTGTTTTCATCCTTTTAACATGAAGCAGACTTCTACTTGTCATAAACTGACAAAAAAAATGTACATTTATTTGAAAATAATAAAGTTGTTGGCTTGTTAATGAAAATAACATTTGGAAGTTAGTAGACAATTAAAAAGCCAGTGTAACAACAACAATGGATAAAGTCAATAAGACCACTAGATAAGTAGTTTATTTGGACAAAATATCTTACAATTTTTTATTTTTATTTTTTGTCTCAACATTCAAATTTTCAACAATGGAAATAAATTAGTTTAATGTTAGGATTAGAAAGAAAAATTCTATTGATAGGAGCATTCTCCGTGCCTTTTAGACACAGATAATCGCTTAGTTCTTGTGTTTATGAAGATGTGTTGTTAAGCGCTCCATTTTCTTTTTCCAATGAGGTGAAACCTAAGCGCGTGCTTTGAGGGGTTGATGTTCACACGTTAGTAAGAGATAATTTCAGAGTATGAAATGGGGGTCAGGATAGGCACGGGATGATAGAAGAAGGTATTTGATTCAAAAGATCTTGTCCATTTCAAATCTAGTTAGCGGTCTTCAACCTCTTTTACAATAGAAAGCCCTAAAGGAAATAGACAAGATTGGTACCAACGCTAGGTAGCACACATAAGTCAAATGCTACATGAATGTAATTGGGTGAAGTTCACAAATTCCAAATTTAGTCCATGGATCGTATCAGCATGAATGAGTAATAGTAATTTTGAATTATATTTTCCAAATTTAGGGGTCAGCCCCTTGTTACTAATTCAAGAACATGATCACAATTAATCTCAATTCGAAACAAAATATTTATAAGTCTCGATTGTCTCAGAATTTTCCGAAACAAAATATTTATAAGTCTCGATTGTCTCAGAATTTTCGCATTCTCCTTTGAGATCTCTAATATCATATTTGTAAGAAACTTCTGCTTATTGCAGTCATCTCCGAGATTTTTCACACTCACCTCATCGTAAGCGCGTGTCGTCGTTTTTGTTTATTAATAAATCGGGAGAGATCCAAGCCTCGTTCCCTTCCCTCTAGGTGTATTTTGCCCAAAAAA